CCCCTCGTGCGCGTGGCCTCGTGACTACCAGTCGGCGGTCCGCGATTCGCATCATGATTCTCATCATGTCCGCGCCACCTCGACGCAGCGGCGACGCCGGCGCGGGCGTCCAAGGCTGAACACCCCGCGGGGGGTCCGTTTCGGGACTTTTGTTCCCACCGAGAAGCACCCTTTGTTGCGAGTATCAAAGGTGGTGTCGAGAGCCCCCTGGGGACCTCGGCGAGCGGAGTTCGTTCGAGGTTGAACGGTTCGTGCAGTGTCAGAAATGGGGCGCGGAGGTGATCGCGGCTCGTGCTTCTGTCAACGCCGATTGCGAAGTTTGGGGGCCTAGATCGCTCGTTGCTGGCTGATTCGAATGAGTAGCGACAGTAGCTTGGTACTGTTGCTTTACAGTATGAGTGGAATGCACGCTGAAGCGATGTCCGAGTATCGAAGACGACTATGGCGAATCACCGCCGCCCCTTAGCTATAGGAAGCGCCTGTGTGGCCGAACGATGCTGCGAAAGCTCGGCCAAGCTATCGTACTATACATTCCCCCAGCCGTTGTGGCAACACTTCGGGCAACACGTGGGGGGGAAGAAGAATGGGAGGAGGGGGAGGAAAAGGGAAGACACGAGAGGAGGAGGAGGAGGAGGAGGAGGAGGAGGACGAGGACGAGGAAGCCTCTTAGGAGCTTCTTGGGGCACTCTGCGGGCCTCCTTGGAGCTCACTCGGGGCCTCTTGTAGGCCCCTTGGGGGCTTTCCTGGGCCTCTCGGGGATCTTTGGTTCGGATGCAACTCCTGGGATGTCAAATTCCAATTTTGCCTTGGTCCGAAATCGGGCTTAATCTGGCTTAGTCCCGCTTAATCCCGCCTAATCCCGCTTAGTCCCGCTTAACCCGGCTTAATCCCGCTTAATCCGAGGCCCATTCTGGCGCAACAGCTCCCAAATGCGGCTCAATCCTCCTCAATCTGTTCGACGAAAACCTCCCAGTAGTTGCCTCCTAACTTTGGAGGCTTCTTGGGAGGCTCTTTGGCAGTTTGAGGGCGCTCCTTGCCCATCTGACGCAGTCGGAAGCCGTCTTGGAGGCCTTTCTGGGCCGATGTGGGGCCCTCTTGGGGCGCGTTCTTCAGAGCTGTCTTGGATGCCATCTTGAGCGTCTTGGAGGTCTCCTGAGCCGTCTTGGGGCCGTCTTGGGCCGTCAGAGGGGCCATCTCGGGGGGGCCTCTTGGGCTGTCAGAGTGGCCATCTCAGAGGCCTCTTGGGCGCTATTGGGGCCATCGTGGTGGCGTCTGCGGCCGTCTTAGTTAGGCAGTCAGGAAGCCGAAAATGAGCAAACGCCCAAACCATTTAACGACTGATTGGAAATCAATGATTCGGGCCTCTTCGGGCCCTCGTCTTGGATGCCTCTTGGTCTGGCGCAGGCGATCGTGAGGCCATCTGGGGGGCAGCCCGGCCCTCTTGGAGACATCTTGTGGCCATGTGAGGCTCCTTCGGGGCCAGCGTAGCCGTCTTGGAGACCATCTTGGCCGTCTTGGATGCCCATCTTGAAGCCGTCTGGAGCGGGAGTAGCGACGACCTGGAAAGCACATGGGTCCTTACTGGGCGGACCGCTCGCGGGATACACCTTTTGCGCGCCCTTCTGGATGGCTGGCGCGCTAGGCCGATTGGGCGTCGCTTGATGCGAGGGCGACTCATGGGGGGGGGGGAGAAAGGTGCCCTGCTCGGGCCTTTGAGGCTCCCTTCTGGGGGCGATGAGTGGGGGGAAGGATGGTGCCCTTCTCGGGCCCTGCAGGCCCCAAAAAGGGCCCCTTATAACCAGACAGAGCTGGACCTAAACGGTGTTTTCGGCGATTTCGTGGGCCGTTTTCGTTTCGATTTCGTTTTGCGGTATAGGCGGATTCGAGACAAACGCGCGGGGCAACGAAAACAAAACGAAAACGAAAAACACTGTTTAGGTTCAGCCCTGTAACCAGAGGCTCAAGGTCTCTTTTTCTGCAGCCCTCGCTGCCCCCCCAGTTGCCGCCCTCCCATGGGTCACGGCCCAATCCGGAGCCCCAGTGGCACCTTCTTACAAGGACCCAAAGCTACCTCAAGTCTGGCACGCCGCGCACCCCCTTGTGACAAGCCAATGGGGGGCGGTGGATCCAGTGGCCTGCGGCCCATCCCACCACTGGACCTTGATTGTAGGTCAGAGGCCTCCCAGGTGCCTGCGGGGATTTTTTGGGAGGGCTCTCTGGAGTCTCTTGAAGGCGAGTTCGGAGCCTCTTGTGGACCTTCTCGGGGGCCTCTCGGGAGCCTATTGGGCCTTCTTGGGGGGCCTTCTTGGAGGCCCTCTTGTGGGCCTTCTGGCAGTCTCGAAGGTCGTCTTGGGGCGGATAGCTCGACATGTCGCTTCTTGTTCCCTCTCTTGGGCCTCTCTTGGGCCCCTCTCGGGGCCCGCTTGGTCAGTATTGGAGGCCTCGTGGCCCGTCTTGGGGGCCTCTTGGGGGCCTCTTGGGTCGTCTTGGAACAATGCTGGAGGCTTCTGGCTAAACTCTTTCGAGCATGTTTGGACAATCAGTGATGTTGGCCACTCGGGCCCTGGCCCTCTTGTAAGGCCTCTTGGAGCCCTCTCAAGGCGTCTTGGGGGCACATTGGGCCATCTGGAGGCCATTTAGGGCATCTTGGAGGGCTCGTGGGCCGACTCGGGGCCCTCCCGTTGTAGAAGCCTCCTGCGGCTCCAGAGATGTTACGTGGGAGCACCCAGAACCACCGAGATCGCCCTGGATTGAGGGCTGTGGGCCCCTTCGGCGCGAAGGACGGAGGATTGGAAGGACCTCTGGACACTCCAACTCGTGCCTCAGGGCACGGTGGCAGATCTGCCCACAAACAACTGACCAGCCTGGACTGCGTGTGGCAAGCCGCGCGTCGACTGGGTGCGTCCGCAGTTCTGGAGAATCTAGGCATCATGTGGCCCAGCAGCTACACGTCGAGGATCTGCGACTGTTAGGTCATCATTTTGTTGATGATCGAAGTGGTTGCTTGCATGATTATGGTTTGTATGTTCCTTGGCCAGTTTTGCAAAGTTGCTTGTCGTTGTTGCAGTGGAAGCGTAGTAGTGGTGTGTATTTCCGAGCTGCCGTTACTGAATGAAGCGGCCGAGAAAAAGCCGAAATCGCTTCTCTGCATGCTTAAGCACCTGCCCTAACATATTCGTATGAACACCACGCGCCATGCCAAAGCATGAAGTTGTCCCTGTAGCAGCAACGGGTGGCAGCTGAAAGTGAGGCACAGTGAGTTGCGCTGTGCTCAGACCGAATTCCAGGCAGTGACTGAGATTTTACGACCTGATCGTCATCGAGATGCGATTTCGGATGGATCGAACGACGTAGTTGCACGGTGGAGTCTCCCCCACCCGCATTGCTGACTTGACTGCGCCGCCAGAAGTCGCCCAACATATTCCTGCAGCTGCTGTCTGGGAACTGCGCTCTGGATTGCATTGCATTCTGCACATATTTGACATTGAGGCCCCCGGGATGGGCGGAGTGTACCTTGCGGGATACGGGATTTTGGTTCCAATCGTTCTTGAGCAGTTGCCCCAAGTTAACCGCATTGTTGTAGGGTTCCACCATAATGTTCCAATTGATTGCATATTCACGTGATGTGCCCATGTTGTTTGACACGTCTTTGTAAACGCACGTATGGTAAAGCGCGCGGTGTTTCACTCCCCTTGTCAAAGGTGTTCATCACAGTGGCATGCATCACGAAAGCATTGCAAGTTCGAACGTGCTTTCAAGTAATATGTGGTTGAAGTCCAGCGAGCATGTCTCTTAAGTTGTACCTTGCGTGGGTAAGTTAGTCAGGCATGAGGTGGCGCCACAGCGGTCAGGCAGCAGAAGCGGTTCACAAGGGGAAGTGAAGGCGAGCTGGAGTGAAGCACCTTTGGTAGCGCCTCTTATGCGACATCGGGCGCTGGCCAACGGCGCCAGGTGCGGATTGCAAAAAGCTCTCTCGCTCGCCGCCTTTCGTTTCCGTTCGTGCTCCTCCCCTTTCTCTTGCTGATGTCTCACGCTGAAGAGGAAGCGTCCACTGCGACGGCCCCCCAGAAACCCCAACACCAGGACATACTCCAGGCCCAGGCTTCGCCAGAAGTCTGCCTCCTATTCCTCCCTTTGGACTGGAACCATTTTGCACCAAGCCAGCGTTTGGGATGGATACCTTTGGCCTCCCCCGCGCTTCTGCGAACGTGCGGCCGTGTGTTCAGTATCGCTGTTCCGGTCGCCCGTTTTGTGGACATTGACATGGGGCATCGTTTTCACGAACACCCAGATTTCTTGCACGCGGCCATCGTTCCAAAGTTATAACTCGAGTGGGGCACTTCAGAGAGGGCCTTGCTGTCAAGAGGTCGAGAAGATGGCGTTTCGCCCTGTGCGGAAGCCCGCAGACGGCTGGTCAATTCTAGCGAATTCTAGCGGGAGTAGAACGAGGGCGATTCCAGTGCCAGAAATTAGCAGCAGGCCGGCTGAATCCGGCAGAAAAACAGAGCGGCCCAAGTTTCTTGGGCTGAGTTTTTGGGTGGTGCCTCGAGCTTCTTGGACTGACCCCCTTCTGAGACTCTTCGTGTGGCATTCGCGTTGACCTCTGCTAACATCTTCCCCCACTACTCCCACTTCAAGCCTTGCGGCCTGAATGTAGCTGCCACGGGCGATTCCGGTGCTTGTTCTGATCTTCCCCCTCGCCCTGTGCCACACCGCTTCCTGGTTTCGTGAAAGGCTTAACGACTTCTGCCGTCATTCGACTCGCGCTAGAGCGGCCGCAATTTGCTCCAACTGTCCCTGAAGGTCTCTGGACTTACCTGGATTTGCCCGTGCATTGATCTGGATTTATCTGGCTCAATCCCCACAAGTCGATTGGCGAAAAGTCGTCAAGCCCTTAGGGATGGTTGGACCTATCCATTCTTGCCCGAGCGTGCTCAAACAGTTGGGAGGTCTGGCACGCGACTCCTCTCGCCACCTCGCGCGCGCGCGCGCGTGCGCCCAGGCGCTTCTGCTGGAGCGGGGCCCCGGCCGACCCCCGAACCCCCACACCCCCCCGCGGGCGGGGCTCCTCTAGGCCTCCTAGACGAGGTCCGGGTAGATGGGGTCGGAGGATCGCGCCGCATCGCCGATGCATCGACGATGCGGCTCGATGTGGAGACTGTGTTTCCCCACGCCGACGTCGCCGATTCATTGCCGACGTCACCGATGCATCGCCGATTCATCGGCGATGCATTGACGATGCGGCGCAATCCTTCGACCCCATCTACTCGGACCTCATCCAGGAGGCCTCTAGCTCCAGCCCGCGCGGGCGGGGCCGCGGCCTGTGGGACAGTCGGGATCGAAAAAAAGCAAACGAGGTTCGCACAGTGGACGCGCTGAAGTCGGGAACAGGTCGGCTTTCGGGATGGCTTGCTGATCTTTGGGTCCTTCCATCCTCGTTTCTCTAGCGCTCCTCATGCACCCAGGCGCATGAGGTTCCAAGATGAGTGCTCGTTCCTTATCTGGTGCTCCTGATGGCAGCAGCTCGACTGTACTGTAAGCTCAGGGGGAGGGGTGGGTGGACTTGTATGTGTCGGAAGTGTTTCTACGGTTCTGAAAGATTTGGGGCGGTTTCCATCAGTTGTGCCTCGTCGAGGGCGTTCAGGGGATGCCAGAATCGTCCCGAACGGCCGCCGGAGGCCCGAGTTACGGTCCGAAAGCCAGGGAATGGGAGGTTGGCGGCAATTCTTCTAGGGGGTAGAGGCTTAGGAGGGGTATACATCGACCCCCAATCGCCAGTGAGGAACTGATAGCCAACACCACGCAGGAGAGTGCGGATTGGACGTGGTGCCAATTCCAGCTCGAGGTTTCCGCCCTGGGCCAGCCTTCCAATCGTTGCCCCTCCTCTGGAGGTTGTCGAAGCACCTTGAGGGTTCTTGAGATGCCGCGTGTGTGTGTGTATGTGTGGGGTGTTTGCGAGGCCGCGATCGCCAAAAAGTTTAGGTTTGCCAGGTCGCCCTCAGCAGCGAGAAGATAGTCACGTTCTGTTATTCGGGGCGGCGAGTTTCCCCTTCCCTCTGGGCCCGCGCGAAGATAAGAGCTTGTTTTTTGGATTCAGGCAAGTTTACTCGCATGGCGTTCGCCCCCCCTCGCCCCTCTTCAAGCGAATACTAGCGTGCAAGTGCCTTTCGACTTGCGTGATTTCCGCGCCCCCCCCCCGGGCTTGCTTCAGGCTCAGCCCCCCCCCCCGTCCATGCAAGTAAACTTGCCAGAGTCTAAAAAAACAGGCTCTAATCGAGGACGCCGGCGGCGTATCACCGGCCGCTTCCTGGGAGTGTGTCGAAGTGGCGCGCAGCATGGGAAGTCGTGACGCGGCGCGTGTGCCAGCTATCACATGGCCTTCGGCCAATCCTGCTACCGTGCCTGGGTTGTCGGTCAGAGTCCTCATGGGTGTTTCTTCGGGTCTGTTCGAAAGGCTCTCCGGGTTTTTCCCGGAAAGGGCATAGGCCTAGGGTTCTCTTTTAGTTGGTTTCCCCCCGGTTTTGACGGCTGTAGGGCCGGCGAATTTCTTTTGCGATAAATAACGAGGTCGCGTAGGGCCGGCGAATTAAAATCTGAGGGTGTCTCGAGCGAAACGCATGTTTTTCAGAATTGGTTGAGGATGTCTCGAGCGAAACGCTTGTTTTGTGTTATAGATTGTCCTCTCCTGGGGACCTGAATTCTGAGGATCTCTCAAGCGGATTGCTTGTTTTCACATGCCCAGGTCTTGAGGATGTCTCGAGCGAGACGCTTGGTTTCACGCCTCCAGGTGGCCTAGACAGATGTCTAGCATGAGGATTTGTTGAGGATGTCTTGAACCAGAGGCTTGTTTTCACGTGTCCAGGTCGCCCAGGCGGACGTCTAGCATGAGCATTTGTTGAGGATGTCTCGAGCGAGACGCTTGTTTGCACGTGTCCAGGTTGCCCAGGCGGATGTCTAGCATTAGGATGTGCTGACAACGTCTAGACCGAAACGCGTGTTTTCACGTGTCCAGGTCGCCCAGGCACAGCACAGCCCTCGGCACGGTACATCAATATCGATACCCTTAGCATTGCAGCCTGGCATGTTGCCTGGCACGTTCCGCGGAGAGTCCCGTGGCGAGTCCCCCTGGCACGTCGCGCGGTGCACGTCCACTGGCACGTTCCGTAGCGCGTCCCCTTGGCACGTCCCGCGGTGCGTGCCCATGGCCCATGGCACGTCCCCTGGCACGTCGCCTGGCGCGTCCCTTGGGACGTTCCGCGGCGCGTCCTCTTGGCATGTTCCCTCTGTCGATTAGTTCTGGGGCAGCTACCATCTGCTCAGGCAGCTCGAGCTTACGATCCAGATCAGTTCGGTCAGGACTCGGATGCCAGGGAGGACTCGATCCACAACGCTATAGAGAGCACAATCGCGGCATGGCACATCGCAGTTCAGCACGGCCCAGCACAGCACAGCCGTCGGCACGGTACATCAAGATCGATACACTCAACTATGCACCTTGGCACGTTCCTTGGCGCGTTCCGTGGCGAGTCCACCTGGCACGTCGCGCGGCGCGTCCCCTGGCACGTCCCTCGGCACGTCCATTGGCACGTTCCGTAGCGCGTCCCCTTGGCACGTCCCGCGGTGCGTCCCCATGGCACGTCCCCTGGCACGTCGCCTGGCGCGTCCCTTGGGACGTTCCGCGGCGCGTCCTCCTGGCATGTTCCCTCTGTCGATTAGTTCTGGGGCAGCTACCATCTGCTCAGGCAGCTCGAGCTTACGCTCCAGATTAGTTCGGAGAGGACTCGGATGCCAGGGAGGACTCGATCCACAACGCTATAGAGAGCACAATCGCGGCGTGGCACATCGCAGTTCAGCACGGCGTAGCACAGCACAGCCCTCGGCACAGTACATCATCATCGATACATTCAGCATTGCATGTGCCCGTCGCCCAATCAGGTGTCTTTGAAATGTTGCAATGCCTTACATTTCTATATTCCTTTCCGGGTTCGTGGGTCGATCATGTTAGGGCCTCTTGGGGGCCTTTTGGGGGCTTCTTGGGGACCTCTTCGGGCCCTCTTGGGGCCTCTGGGGGGTCTCTCGGGGCCTCCTGGGGGCCTCCTGGAGGGAGCCTCTTAGGGCCTCCTGGGGGCCTCTTGGGACCGAACGCTTGAAATGTCTGTTAGGGTTCCTCTCTGGGCCTCCTCTTGGGGCTGTCCTGGGGCCATGGTGGGCCGTCCCTGGTGCCTTTTTGGCTGTAGTCACGTTCCGTGATCCGGGGCGGCGAGCTCCCTATTCTCTCCGGGGCCGCGCGAAGATCATCTATAGAAGGTTGCCGCTTCTGCTGCCGCCCCCAAATAAGTGTTCGAAGTTTGGCTCTCTGAGGCTACATCTCTCGTGGGCGCGAAGTTCAAATGCCACATCGGCGGTGAAGACGTTGTCCTTTGGGGGCTGTCCTCGTCGCTGTGGCTGGGCGCGGCGACGAGGCAGGTGTGAGGCACCTGGAGGCATGTGGGCCTGGAGTTTCTTGTGCGTTCTTGGAGGCTGCCATCTTGGGGCCATCTTGGAGGACATCGATCAACGAAGGGGGACTCCTTAACCAGACCCCCCCAGGAGGCCAACATGTGGCCAAGCCATTCTTTTTCGAGCAAGTGATTTTGGCCATCTCGTCGAGGCCACGGTAGACGCTCCAACGACCCGCAAAACGCTCCGCCCAGACCCGGGGGGATGGGGCAGGGGGGGGGGCCAAGACACCCTCCCCACCCGCAAGCCGTCTCGCTCACTCCCACCCGCCCTCCCAGCACATAAGCAGCACCCGAGCCACAGCGCGTTCAGCGGTAGTCTTATGATGGACAGCTCAAGGGCACCATAACAGACCCCGTGTGCGCAGCGCTGGGGCGAGGTGCGCCATGCGTGCCAGGCGCGCCACGCGCGCCAGGGTATGCCAGGCACTCCTGTGGCCCAAGTGTGCTGGACGTCTGGTGCGCCAGATGCGCCACGTGATCCACGTGCGCCGTGTGTGCCGCCTGCTCCTGCCGCGCCAGATGCGCAACGTTCGGGGCGCCGCAGAGCGTGCCAGGGCGCTTGTCGAAAACCAGTGCGCATTCGCGGCGGGATGGCCATCATAGCGTCTGGTGGGTCTTCTGGGAGTGGGAAGTGCTGGGGCGTGTGGTAGGGGGCGTCGGTCGGTTCTGGGCCAGAACGTGTCGGGCGGGGGGCCCCAAGAACAGAGCTCCCGGGAGTTGGAGGTGCCAGGGCGTGGTGGGGGGCATCGGTCGGTTCCGGGTCAGAAATTGTAGGGTAAGGGGTCCCAAGAACAGAGCTCCCAGGATCAGGTGAAAGCGCCGGGGCGTGGTAGGGGGCGACGGTCGATGCCGTGCCAGACAGTGTCGCATGGGGTGTCCCAAGAACAGAGCTCCCAGGACGGTGCGGGGGTCGGGTGAGACGGGCGGCAGGGTCGGCTTCGGGCCAGGAGCTGTCGGGTGGGGGGTCCCTATAGAAGAGAGCTCCCCGCATGGTGCGGGGGTCGGACGAGGTGGGCGGCAGGGTCGGCTCGGGGCCAGGAGCTGTCGGGCAGGGGGTGCCCAGAGTAGAGAACTCCCAGCATGGTGCGGGGGTCGGACGAGGTGGGCGGCAGGGGCGGCTCCAGGCCAGGAGTTGTCGGGCAGGGGGTGCCAGGACGGGCGGTGCCAGGGTCGGACGTTGGGGGGGGTGGCAGGGTCGGCTGCGGGCCAGCAATTTTGCCGGGTGGGGGGTCCCAAGGCCAGGGCTCCCAGGACAGTGCCGGGGTCGGACGAGGGGGGGGCGGCCGGGTCGGCTCTGGACTCCCAGGGCGGCGCGGGGGTCGGACCAAAGGTGGCAGGGCAAAGTTCTGACCGCACGCGCCTCAGGGGTCGGCGGATTTCGATTCGCCCCTCGACATCGCGACATGATGGCGGGACTGAGTGTAACACGGCGTCGGGCGTCTGGGCTTGTGCTTCCCAGGATGGCCGCCTCCGCTGGCGCTGCTGCACAGGCCAGGGGCAAATGCGAGGCCGCTCCCCCCCGCGCGCGCTCGGCTGCTTGCTCCATTGTACAGTTCGGGCGCGCATCAAGAAATCAGATGCTTTTCGTCAGGGTATCCTGGGTTTCTTCGCTCCTCGCGCTGCGCGGTGACTTCCCGCAGCCGTTGAAGAAGCTGCTGCGTTCAGGGTGTTCCAGGTTTCCCCTCAGGTGCACCTCGCGCACGGGTTCTCAGGGTTGGGTTTCTTGCGAGGGTTTCTTGCGACCGCGCCTGCACTGTAACGTGGCCGCGGGCTGGGAACATCCCTTGCGGGCCGGGCTCCTGGACCGCGACCCCATGGATACGGGGAGTTGTTCGCGGATGCCCCCTCATAGTTCCACACCGGGCTGCTTGCCACAAGTTCCGCCACCGTGCCATCACACCGCTCTGTGTGGCGATGTGTCGAGCACCGCCCTGAAGGCCGCACATGTGATAACTGCACAAGGTCATGGCCGGGTCGGATCTGGTGCATTCCTGTTCGCACGGGGCAGTAAGTATAATCAGGCGTCTGGATATGATATTGATGTAGTTATAAGTTGCGCCTTCCTGTTTAGTGCGCACAAGATGCAGTTTGCCTACAGAGGGCCCTTGAACCCCACCCCATATAGTCTGGAAGCGGCCAGCAAACAGGTGCACTTCCGAGGAGTATCATTTAATCGCTTCGCTCATTCCGCCGGCCCTGGAGCGCTATTTGGGGCCTCGTGGGGCCGTCTTGGGGGCTCCTTGGGGGCTTCTTGGGAGCGTCTTGGGGCTCCTTGTCGGCGTATTGGGCTCCCCTGGGGCCTCTTGGGGGGCTCTTGGGGGCCCCTTGGGGCGGGAGGGGGGGTAGTCGTTGGCAGCCCCCCCCCTCGGAGGCCACGATCCTCGTGAGGGGTGGCGAAAAATAGCCTCCCCAATGGGGATCGCCCGGGGGTCAGCCGGGGATCGGCCGGGGTACTTTTCGTCCGGGGCCCCCCAGGGGCCGCCCCGCGCGCGCGAACTAGAAATATTGTTAAGTAGTTACCGGAGATCTTAGCACGCCTCTGGCCCGTTGGGCCGGCGAATTTCTAGCCAGTAAGGGCAGTCATGTTTTCGTAGTGTTGGCGTTGGACCCTTTGCCGCCTGATATGGCTTGGGTCAGTTTCATATCCGCCATCATTATTTTTTCAAACAACATGGGGGTGTCAGAGCACAGAGTGTTCCCAGATACTCGGGTACCCGCGCGCCCCTTCTCGCGCACCCATGCCCCATGCCCCGTTCTCTTCGTATCCTCGTCGTACAGGGCCCACGCGATACCCATGTGATTCCGAGAGTCTCGGCAGTTCCAGACATTAATTTCTGTTTGTTGTTAGCCCACTCGCACGTCGGGCGTCTAGATGATCCCCACATGACCCTGGCCCATGGTGGCCCGTAGCCGCCGCGGGGTCTAGTCCCAGCACTCGCCCGATGGCTCGCCCGCCCATCCGCGAAGCCGTCCCTTTGTTCAGACCAAGCCTCTTGGGCCCTTGTTGGGAGCCTCGGGTGCCATCATGGGATGACCTTGGGAGCCTTTTGGGCTGTCAGGGACATCTTGCGACCAAAAAGCGAGAACGCTGAACTGATCCAGCTGCCTGCGGCATCGTGCCAGTTCAGCATTCTGTGTGGCGACAGTGCCAGAGGCGCGCAGGAGGCTGCAACATGTGGTGACACCTTGTGTCCGTAGGTTTGGGAGAGCCGTAATATGTGACACGCTCTCCCGTGTCGGTTTGAGCACAGCCTAGGCAGCAATCATGTGTGACAGTTCGGGCACATTCTGGCCTTATTGAATTGTGGTGAGGCCATCCCAGGGGATGATGATGGTGATGATGATGATGATGATGATGATGATGATGATGATGATGATGATGATGATGATGATGATGATGATGATGGTAACTGTTGTGGTGATGAGGAGGATGAGGAGACGTGGATGACTTTGGGGCGTCCGGATGCCTCTTGAGGCAATATTGGGCCATCTTGGCAAGCTTGAACACCTGCCTTGGTTGTTCAGGAGGGGAAAGAACACAGACACAATTATTCGTCGATCCCTAGGAAAATATTGGAAAATATGGGAAGTGGTGGGGAAGACAAAAACCCAGAAATATAGGGGAATATGGGGAATCTGTTTATTTGTGTGTACTTATTTGTGTGTCCCAGTTTCCCTTTAGTTGTGCTGAACGCCCTGGGATGGATTCGAGAGTCCCGGGGAGCCTCGGCACCTGGGGGCGATGCGTGCAGGACTGTGTGAGTAGAGGGGGGATCGTTTATCGGGTCGGGCGAAAGGGGGGGATTGGGAAAGGGGGGGTTACGAAATTTGCTGCATGCAGCTGGTTTCGGCCTCACCGAGGGGCCAATTCCTCGATACATGGCCGCTCCCGGCGCCGGGAGGCGCCAGGAAAATCAGCTACGTGAGCTGATTCTCAAACCCCCCCTTTGCTATCCCCCCCTTTCGCCCGACCCGAGTTTAGAAGAGTATAGACACCCTACTCCGATGTCTGTTCATGTCGGCCTAGGGCGGCGACGCTGAAGTGAGAAGTTCCGGCATTTGGACCGCATTTGGTCCACGTGTGGCCTTTCCTCCTGCTCCTCCTCGCCCCTCCTGTTCCTCAGCTCTTCTCGTCTCCCTTGTGAGAGGGCGAATCTGGTCCCAATCTGGTCCACATCTGGTCCCAAATGTGTTCCAAATCCAGACCAAACCAGGCTCAAGTCGGACGGCTCCAAAGCAATCGGGTGGAGACAGAATTCCTACCCTGACACGTCGATTAAGGAATTGGCCGTTATCGGTTCGCGAGAGGGCGTCGCGGCCGTCATTTCTGCGGGTCCAGGTCCGTCGGTTTCGGTCCTGGGTCGGTTTCACTAAGGGGAGGTTTACTAAAGGGAGGTTTTCCAACGCCGAAGCAAGGTCCCATGGAACGGACACCAACGGGGTCGTTTAGAAGGGTACAGAAACTCAACCAGACAGCACCGGACGTTCTGCCACGCCTCAGCGTGCCAGGGGATACGGTGGCAGCCACATGCCCGCTAGCGTGGGGGGATCCTCTCAGGCTCCCAAAGCCTTTTCAACGTCGTCCTCCTGGACACATTTCTAGGGGACGAGCAATGACATAAACATAAAAACTCGGAGGACCGCGCGGATTTCTCGCATCCGAGCTGGACACCCCTGGCGGCGCCTCCGGCGCCGCTCCTGGCGCGCTCCGCGCGCCAGGGACGGGGGTTCCAGCGGGGAGCCGAAGCCCGCGCGGACCTCCGAGTTTTCATGTTTATGTCATTAGTCGTTCCCCTAATCTCGCACATCCAAATGCACACATGGAAAAGAAGTTAGCGTCCGAATTTGTCACGACGGAGGTCTGTGACGACGACGAGGAGGGCGACTTCGGCAACGGCGGCGGCGACGACGGTGTCGATGCCGACGACGACACCGTCGCCGACGACTTGGAGGACGACGGTGACGACTACTACCTCGGCCACGACGACCTCGACGACGGCGCTGAGGAGAAACAGGACGACGAGGACGACGACGACGACGACGACGACGTCGCGAGCGAAGACGAGGGCGACAACAGGCGGCAGCGACGACGACGGCGTCGCCCAACGCGGCGGTCCGCCCCCTCGGCCAGGATGCGCCCTGCCCAGCGGCGGGCCCCAGCGGCACCAGCATCTGCGAGGCCGCCGGGCGGCGGCGCCGCCGCCGTCGTCGTTCGATACGCTTCTACGACAGGACGTTGGCCAGCGTGGATCCCAAAACAGTGGTTGTGAAGGCCTGACGGCGGGTGCCGCCGACCCTGGAAGACATCGACGACGACCATGAGGGGGAGGAGGAGGAGGAGGAGGGGGAGGAGGAGGAGGAGGAGGCGGAGATTAGAGGGAGGAGGAGGAGGAGGAGGCGGAGGAGGAGAAGGAGGATTTCTTGCAACCTGTGCGATGCAGTCAGTGTGGTGCAGCCCACGCGGCGCAGTCCATGTGGTGCAGTGCTGCGCGGCGCAGAGCAGTGCAGAGCAAGGCGACGGGCGGCGACGGGACGGAGAGCAGTGCGGCGCCGTGCGATTGCACTGCGAGGCGGCGACGGGCGGCCACGAGCCGGCCATTGGGCCTCGTTCGCCAGCGGCGCCGGCGGCGGCGCCTTGGGCGGCGGCGGGCGGCCACGAGCCGGCCGGACTGCCACTGAAGCTCAGCGGCCAGCGGCGACGGCGGGCGGCCACGGGCGGCGACTGGCGGCCGCAGGCCAAGCTGGAACATATACATTCGATGCTCGTTTTGGGGACCTTCCTGGGGCCCACCTAATGGATCTGTTCGACTCAGGTTCGACTCAAGTTCGACTCAGGTTCGACTCAGGTTCGACTCAGATTCGACTCAGGTTCGACTCAGGTTCGACTCAGGTTCGACGCAGCTTCGACGCACGAGTGGAGCGAGTGGCTCCAGGAAGGTCCCCAGAATGAGCATCTAATATACATTACCAGTGGCGGGCTGTATTTTCAACCCCAGGGTTTTTTGAGGGTCCGGGACGACGTCGGGGCGGTGTGGTGTATACTTGTTTCTCCGTTCCCCCAGAGGAGCAGCGAAACAGGTATACACCAGGGTCCCGTATACATCAGGATCCGCTTTCCTGTGCGCGTTTCAGTGCGGGGCAGGAAAAAGCATCGGTGTATAGAGGTCGGTTCCCTACGTGAATGCAAGCACTGTTTGGGGAGCATCTGGCTACAAGGATGCTCAGGACACACTTGGCTTTCGAGCTGTCAGCTCCTTGAGGTGCCCCAGGGCTTCAGCGGACCCCCAGGGCCATCGGGCAATGAGAAGCTTCCGCGCGGCAACTGTTGACAGGCTAGTTTCCAATTTGACTTGCCAACTGTAGTCGCCGACTTGGCGTCGACGCCTGGGCTGGCGCGGGCGACGTCTGCGCTGGCGCCAGCCTCGCCGCCGCCGTTGCCGTCGTCGTCGTTGGCGGTCTAAGTTTTGCCAGGCCGCCGGACTCGTCGGACGAACCTCGTCGTCGTCGAGCCTTGGGCGGCGACAATGAAAGCAGCTTCCCTGCATTTGGACCGAAGTTGGTTCGCACGCGGCCCTTCCTCCTGCCTCTCCTCGCCCTTCCCGTTCCTCCTCCCTCTCCCCGTCCTTCTCGTCTCCCGTGAAGGGACGATTGCGGTCCAGATCCGGCCCACGTCTGGCCCCACGTCTGTTTCCGTAGCCATTTGGGCTCAAGGCCCAGAGCATCCCATCGACCTTGGCATCGCTCGGACGTGTGCATTTTTCCAAACAGCTTGCTGAACGGGGTGCTGTTGTGATAGAAGCTAACTCCGGCCGAGGGAAGTCGGAGCAGAGACATCCTCACAAAAATTTGATGGTCCAGGCCGTTTCGCTTGAGACATCCTCGAAAAGTGCGCTCCGGGACGCCGCGCGAGAGGTGGTCCGGGCTGTTTCGCTTGAGACATCCTCGAAACTCTGAGCCCCGAGGTGCCGTGCGAGAGGTGGTCTGGGCCGTTTCGCCTGAGACATCCTCGAAACTCTGAGCTCTGAGATGCCCTGCGCGAGGTGGTCCAGCCCGTTTCGCCTGAGACATCCTCAAAATTCGGACCTCGGAGATGCCGCGCGAGAAGTGGTCCGGCCCGTTTCGCCCGAGACATCCTCGAACTTCTGAGCTCTGAGATGCACTGCGCGAGGTGGTCCGGCCCGTCTCGCCTGAGACATCCTCACAACTCTGAGCTCTGAGATGCCGTGCGCAAGAGGTGGTCCGGCCTGTTTCGCACAAGACATTCTCGCAACTCTGAGCTCCCAGATGCCGCGCAAGAGGTGGTCCAGCCTGGGGGCCCAGAAGACTACATGTTACATATCCTCCCTCGGACCCTGGGAGCCCGCCTGAGACATCCTCGAACTTCTGAGCTCTGAGATGCCCTGCGCGAGGTGGTCCGGCCCGTCTCGCCTGAGACATCCTCGCAACTATGAGCTTTGAGATGCCGTGCGCAAGGTGGTCCAGTCTGTTTCGCACAAGACATTCTCGCAACTCTGAGCTCCCAGATGCCGCGCAAGAGGTGGTCCAGCCTGGGGGCCCAGGACCATATGTTACATATCCTCCCTGGGAGCCCCAGGAGGCCCCAGAGAGCTCCAGGAGGCCGCAGGACGCCCAGGACAGGCCCCAGGGGTCCGCAGGAGATTCCCAGGTGACTCCCAGAAGGCCCCGGGAGGCCCCCTATCAGAACGTGTCAAGTTAATACAAATCCGGTGTCGATTCGTTGATTTTCCTGCTCTTGTGCCCCCCCTCCATTTTGAGAGGCCCAAGCGGCCACAGGTTAATCCCTCTTGGGAGCCCCAAGAGGCTTCAGGAAACCCCAGGTGGAGTTCAGGAGGCCACAGGAGGCCCAGGAGGAAGCCCCAGGAGGTCCCCAGGAGGCACCAGGAGGCACCAGGAGGCCCCCGCAACTCGGAGCTCTGAGACGCCGCGCTCGAGGTGGTCCGGCCCGTTTCGCCTGAGACTTCCTCGCAGCGCGTTTCGCCCGAGACACCAGCCCGTCTCGCCTGAGACATCCTTGCAACTCTGAGCTCTGAGATGCCGTGCGCAAGGTGGTCCGGCCTGTTTCGCACAAGGCATTCTCGCATTTCTGAGCTCCTAGATGCCGCGCAAGAGGTGGTCCAGCCTGGGGGCCCAGAAGACCACATGTTACATATCCTCCCTCGGACCCTGGGAGCTCCAGGAGGCCCCAGAGAGCTTCAGGAAGCCGCAGGACGCCCAGGACAGGCCCCAGGGGTCCGCAGGAGATTCCCAGGTGGCTCCCAGGAGGCCCCGGGAGGCCCCCTATCAGAACGTGTTAAATTAATACAAATCCGGTGTCGATTCGTTCATTTTTGTTGCTCTTGTGCCCCCCCCCCTCCCCCATTTTGGAGGGCCCCGACGGCCACATGTTAGATATCCCCCCCTGGGAGCGCCAAGAGGCTTCAGGAAGCCCCATGTGGGGTCCAGGAGGCCACAGGAGGCCCAGGAGGAAGCCCCAGGAGGTCACCAGGAGGCCCCAGGAGGCACCAGGAGGCCCCCGCAACTCGGAGCTCTGAGACGCCGCGCTCGAGGTGGTCCGGCCCGTTTCGCCTGAGACTTCCTCGCAGCACGTTTCGCCCGAGACATCGTCGCAACTCTGAGCTCCCAGATGCCGCGCGCGAGGTGGTCCGGCCCGTTTCGCCTGAGACATCCTCGCAACTCTGGGCTCCGAGATGCCCTGCGCGAGGTGGTCCGGCCCTTCTCGCCTGAGACATCCTCGCAGCTCTGAGCTCTGAGATACCGTGCGCAAGGTGGTCCGGCCCGTTTCGCACAAGACATTCTCGCAATTCTGAGCTCTCAGATGCTGCGCAAAAGGTGGTCCAGCCTGGGGGCCCAGCCAGAAGACCACCTGTTACATATCCCCCCTGGGACCCTGGGAGCTCCAGGAGGCCCCAGAGAGCTTCAGGAAGCCGCAGGACGCCCAGGACAGGCCCCAGGGGTCCGCAGGAGATTCCCAGGAGGCTCCCAGGAGGCCCCAGGAGGCCCCCTATCAGAACGTTTCAGTTAATACACGTCCGGTGTCGATTCGTTGATTTTTCCTGCCCTTGTGGCCCCCGACGGCCACATGTTAGATATCCCCCCCTGGGAGCCCCAAGAGGCTTCAGGAAGCCCCAGGTGGGGTCCAGGAGGCCACAGGAGGCCCAGGAGGAAGCCCCAGGAGGTCACCGGGAGGTCCCAGGAGGCCCCAGGAGGCCCCCGCAACTCGGAGCTCTGAGACGCCGCGCTCGAGGTGGTCCGGCCCGTTTCGCCTGAGACTTCCTCGCAGCACGTTTCGCCCGAGACATCGTCGCAACTCTGGGGTCCGAAATGCCGCGCGCGAGGTGGTCCAGCCCGTCACGCTGGAGACATCCTCGCAACTCTGGGCTCCGAGATGCCCTGCGTGAGGTGGTCTGGCCCATCTCGCCTGAGACATCCTCGCAACTCTGAGCTCTGAGATACCGTGCGCAAGGTGGTCCGGCCCGTTTCGTAAGACATTCTCGCAGCTCTGAGCCCTCAGATGCTGCGCAAGAGGTGGTCCAGCCTGGGGGCCCAGAAGGCCACATGTGGCGCCCAGGAGGCCCCAGAGAGCTTCAGGAGGCCGCAGGACGCCCAGGACAGGCCCCAGGGGTCCGCAGGAGATTCCCAGGAGGCTCCCAGGAGGCCCCAGGAGGCCCCCTCTCAGAACGGGTCAAGTTAATACAAATCTGGTGTCGATTCATTGATTTTTCCTGCTCTTGTGGCCCCCCCCCATTTTGGGGAGCCCCGACGGCCACATGTTAGATATCCCCCCCTGGGAGCCCCAAGAGGCTTCAGGAAGCCCCAGGTGGGGTCCAGGAGGCCACAGGAGACCCAGGAGGAAGCTCCAGGAGGTCACCAGGAGGTCCCAGGAGGCCCCAAGAGGCCCCCGCAACTCGGAGCTTTGAGACGCCGCGCTCGAGGTGGTCAGGCCCGTTTCGCCTGAGACTTCCTCGCAGCACGTTTCGCCCGAGACATCGTCGCAACTCTAGGGTCCGAAATGCCGCGCGCGAGGTGGTCCAGCCCGTTACGCTGGAGACATCCTCGCAACTCTGGGCTCCGAGATGCCGTTCGGCATGAAGAGGAGGTGGAGGAGGAGGAGGAGGAGGAGGAGGAGGAGGAGGAGGAGGAGGAGGAGGAGGAGCAGCA